GGAACGACGAGGATAACAACCCGTACGGCGCATTCGATAACGAGGCACGTCTTTCGGAATCGCTACACTCTGCAGCATTGTCACCTCGTAATACTCCCCTTCCGCATAGTCTAACTTCGCAACTGACGCTCTCAGCTCTCTATGATCGCGAACACAGTCCGTCACCCTCCAGCCGATCGTCCAACCAGGATCCGCCCGATTACATTTCCCGACCGCAGGACCTGAGTGACGAGGATGAACCTGAAGACTATGGCGCCCAGCAGACGAGTCATGGTTATCCCCGCAAGAGTCATTACGATAGCCGTATAGAACAGATTCTCTACGAGAACCCGGACATGCCGATCCTCATCACGGACGCCGGGAAGAACCATGAGGGCGGCGGTGGTTTCATTGTATATACGATACGCACTGGAGTATGTGCCCCTTAAAGCGCATAGGACTGAGATGCTCACGAAATCTAGGATCTTGAAGTCCGACGACGATACTCCGAGTTCGCTTCCTTGCGACAGACACTGGTGAACCTTCATCCCACCCTGGTCATCCCCCCGATCCCAGAGAAGCATACAATGGCAGATTATGCTGCCAAGCCTACCAAAGCCAAGGAAGACGCCGCCATTATTGATTTGCGTAAACGGATGCTTGCCGTCTTCTTGAATAGGTGTCGCCGGATGAAGGAAGTTCGGGAGGATGGAGTCTGGTGGAGATTCCTCGATCCGAACGTTAGCTGGGTATGCTGATAATATCTCAGCCATGCGGCCCACGCAAGTTCAGGCTGACTTCATTCTAGAGCGAGGTTCTTCATTCCCACCCTGCATCGTCCGTGCCAAAGAACAACCTGAAGGCACCTCCCCTCGACCCCGCTAACCCTACGGCTGCTCACTCCTGGCTTCCGGTTCCCTCGAGCTCCGCAAAGCTTAAATCGGCACCGAGCGGTGCAACCTCTGGCACTACGGACCGCGGAGACGCCTCGGCCAACGTACCTGGACCTGATGTTCTGGGCCGTTTCCCTCCCGAATCGAAGAAACTGAGTGAACAGGATCTGGATCCATACTTTATCAATTTCGAATCCTCTACGCGGGAACTCGAGCTGCTTCTTCAAGGTAACATCGAAAAGGTCAACCGTCGCACGCTGGCGCATCTGTCGTCCCTGTCTGCAGATCTCATGGAACTGGGCGCCAGATACAACGGTTTCTCTTTATCTGAACAGTCTCCGACCGTGGCAGCGGCTATCGAGCGCATCGGTCAAGCGGCAGATACGTCCTACATTGCAACCGAGGAATTGTCGTCCTCGTTGAGCGCGAGTTTCGCGGAGCCTATGAGGGAGAGCGCCCAGTTCGCCAGTGTTGTCCGCAGCGTGTTACGGTACCGAGTTCTCAAACGTGTGCAAGAAGAGATGACACGAGATGAGCTGGCCAAGAAGAAAACCTTACTGGACTCTCTAGAGAGAAGCGAGCTCGAAGCGAAACGTATCGAGCAGTATCTCAACCGTACCACACCTCAATCTGCGACGAACCGACCTCAACGTTCCTTGTCTGCCTCATCAGCAACCAGTGGCGCTGGCAGCCGTGAGGCGGATGGACGCTCTGCGGGTTCGGAAGACACAGCTTCTGCAGACTCTGATTTCCCACCTACCCATGGAGAGACGATCAGCTCGCAGCCGCAGTCATACCACACCTCTCCGCCTCGGAGGCCTGAGTTGGGGCCATCCGCTCCTCCTGCTCACCGCAAAACGTCAAGCGGCACGTTTGTAGCGAACAAAATATTTGGTCGCATCAGTCATGCGATACATGGCTTTGCCGACGTGGACCCCGAACGCACGCGACGAGATCAGATTGGAAAGACTAAGGAGAGCTTGATACAGGTTAGTTGCCAATTGGCTTCTTGCATTGCTCGCTCAGCACTGATGCCTTTCTCTACAGCTGGAACAAGCACTCGAGGTCTCCGAGAAGGACGTCAAGGACGCGAGTGCCGGAGTATTACAAGACTTGAAGCGGTTTCAGAAGGATAAGGAGGCCGATTTACGGCGGTATATGGTAGATTGTCCCCAAATGATGAGACGATTCACGTCGAAAGGCGACCATGCTGATTGTTGATAGGTCGCATATGCTCGCTGTCATCTTGACTGGGCGCGAAAGAACCTGGAGACTTGGACAGAGGCCAAGGATGAGGTGGATAAGATTGTCGCTCGATAGTCTGCACATACCGGTGGATTGTTTCGCTTGATTCAAGAAGCCGTAGGGTTCGTGTTCAACTACATTGCCTTCATATATTACAGCCTTAAATGAGCACAGTGTGATACCACTATAGTACACTTCTGAGACTATAGGCCGTTTTCATTTTACGTCCAATAAATACCGCTCAACCTTTGGTGTGTATGCCTTTGTCCAGAATGTCTCCGAGACATTGGAGGGGAATAAACAGGATGAGTCAAACGGGTTGTAAGAAGCAAGGCTTATCCCGTGCTCTTTGAGCATTGTCAATGCTGTCATTTATTTCTGGAAGAACGATGCGATGTGGACAAGTAGAGATGTTAGTGTTATCACTCTTACGCTTCCAGTGTTGTGGGGCGATAATATGACAATCTGGCGGAATGCTTGACTGCCTCAGGAACCTATCAGCGACCGGTTCCCAGCACGAGGAATTATCCAAGAAGCCTAGAAAGGGTCCTTTAGTTAAAAGCTCTAGAGAGGTAGTTGATTCATCATCACCGTGAGCAGGAATCATCCAGGTGATTTACATGATGACTTGACCTACCCTCTTTCTGCATCTGAGACCATTGTGGCTCGTACATCCACTGTTACATTTTTCTTTTCCTTTGCGCCCATTTTACTGCCATTGGTGTGTCCTTGCATCAACACCATTCAGGATCGACGCTTTAACAGACCCTAGGGATCAGGAACCTCAATTGCCAGGTACCTCTGCCAGTACCAACGTAATGGTCCTGGCTTGAGTACATACCCCCTTGCAGTTGGTGGGTCGGTGATTGGTGCTATTTGTTATCACTGATTGCTTGTTGTCATCATTGGCGACTTTTTTTCCTCTTTGAACCACTCACTCAGTCTCCACATTCATCATTTGGATCAGCTCCAAAAGTAAGTGAGGATCTTTCATTACCGACACTGGGAGTCTTCCTGGCGATCCTGATCCGCAAGCCCTACATATCAAGGACCGAACATCTGTCTGCCTCCCTAGATGGTTATGTACCACATTGCCCCGTAGTAATTTCATCTGATGCTCCGCAATGATGAAGTCCAGAGGCATACACTCCTGTCCGAGATGATTGCCAGGGCATCCGATTTCTCAGCATGGCTTCTGTCGTCTTATACGCGGCCTGGAGGCCATCCTTCGTCATGGCTTGCACCAATTTGGCCATCAGCCGCTCGTCGTCGTATCATCAAAATGGTCGTGTTGGTAGCTCTCTTCTGCCTTGTAACATGGGCATTATGTACTCGCATACCGCTGCATCCCACGCAGGGGACACAACAACCGCAACAGCCGCAGCAGACACCGCACCCGCATCCGCAGCCTCAAGACCCTTTCCCACCGACGCATGCGACTGACTTTAAAATCCATGACCCGAGCATCATCCACGTTGATGACACGTACTACTCGTACAGTGTGGGCAAGCATATTCTCATCCACCAGGCATCCAGTCTCGACGGGCCATGGAAACGCACCGGCACCGTCCTCGACGCAGACAGCGTGATCCCCAAGGGCGACCGGAAAGCCCCCTGGGCCCCGCAGACCATCCGCCACGGCGACACGTACTACTGCTTCTATGCCGTCAGTAACTCCGGATGCCGTGACAGTGCCATTGGCATCGCCACATCCAAGACACCCGGTCCTGGGGGCTGGACGGACCACGGGCTGCTCGTACAGTCCGGGACAGGGAAGGGTTCAGATGAACACCCGTTTACTAGCTCCAATACCATCGATCCGAGTTGCTCGTTGCAGAGGGCGGTCAAGGATACTTGATTTTCGGGAGCTTCTGGTCGGGCATCTGGCAGGTACCGCTGGACGAAACCCTACTTTCAGTGGCAGGCGATACGAGATCCGAGGCACGACAGCTGGTGTATATGGAGAAGGCGCCACTGCCGGCGAGCAAGCACCCCAACCCGCTGTGCCGGGAGCCGTCGGGTGCCCGTCCCATTGAGGGGAGTTTTCTCTCGTACCATGAGCCCTGGTATTATCTCTGGTTCAGTTATGGGAAGTGCTGCAAGTTCGATACGAAGAATCTACCACCCCCAGGAAGAGAGTAAGTCTTGTCTCTGCTGAATCAGCAATGCTATTCCTAACATCTGCAACAGATATAGCATCCGAGTTGGTCGATCCAAGAGCCCCCGGGGGCCATTCGTCGATAAGCAAGGCAGGGACCTTGCCAACGGTGGCGGAGAGATCGTGTATGCCTCCAATCGCGACGTTTACGCACCAGGGGGACAGGGGGTGTTGACAGAAAAGAGCGGTGACACACTATACTATCATTACTGTAAGTACCCTAATTGATACAGATATCCCGGTAGATGCTGACCTTCACAGTGAACAAAACTATAAGCTACGACTTTTGGGTAAGAACATTCCGTACCTCTGAAGAGTCAATGACTAATTGGTCTTAGGAAGCTCGACTGGGATATAATCCGTTGAAATACGTAGACGGCTGGCCTGTCCCCCAGTAGATGCGATGATCAAATCAGGATAGACTAGACAGGATACACAAATACATCGAGATGGCCTAGATCAGATACAAATAATGCAGAGTCTCCAATAGAGCAACGACTTGAAGATAATTCAAAAGCAGACAAACGCCCTTCAAGTCTAAGATATATACACCACATCTATACACACTCCACCCTGGTCGCAGTCTATCTCTACCAACACAAAGCACAAACATCAACCCAATGAACGCCGGCAATCTATCACCCACAACATACCCATCTAACGGCATCATCAACGCCATCAACACCCTCTCCTCTACCACCATCTATTCCCAACCCTGGATGAACTCACCCCCCTTCCACCCTCTTCCCTTCACCCCCCTTATCCGCATTCGACTCCCGCCCCCGAACCTTACCACTATTCTCCTTCTTCGTCGTCCTCAACGGCGACAACAAAGGCGACGAAATGATCCTCACAGCCACACCGCCACCACCACCACCAGTACTCTCATCAATCGAACCCTGCCGCCCAGGCACAGCCAACGACGCCCCCTTTCCCCATTTCCCATCTTCCCCTCGACAATCCCGCTGCCCATGCTTCCCCTCGCGCAGACGCAGCGGCCCCTCCTCCGCCTCAAACTCAAGACTAGGACCGAGATCCAGGACGCTGATCTCGCTATCGCTGAGGAGGAGACTCCTCCGTCGAGGAGGGACTTGGTGGATATCTACTGCGTTGTTCCTGTTCTCGGTGTAGCCTGCCACTGCGACGTTTGTATTCGTGTTTGTGCTGTGGAGGAGGATGGTCGGGCGAGGGTGAGGGTGAGGGTGAGGGTGAGGCGTTGAGTCTTCATCGGGTGGTGCTGGTACTTTGGACATTTTGCACGCAGTGAGGATTAATGTAGTGTACTGGGTGAGGTACTGTTATTGACGAGGCGTTATATGAGGAGAAGATGCGAGGAAGAAGCACAAGTGTGTGTCGGAGGCTTAACCAGTAGGAGAACGGCGAGGGTGCAGATGAGCAATAAGCATATGGCTATGGGTAGTTCTTGATCGTCCATGCAGTTGCAGTTCTTATTGTTTTAGGAGGAAAGAAGGACATTTTGGTTTGTCTGTAGAGTGTGGGTTGTAGTGGAAGGAACAGGTCAGGGTATATATATAGTGGGAAGTATCAGATGATAAATCACGTCTTTCATCTGAATCTCACTCCATGTGGAAATAAACGAGGCTATGACGTTTTATGATTTCTTTTGAGTTGGAAATAAATCTTAGATTAGAGATGTGACAAGTGGTGATGATGGTGAGGCTCTGAGCAGGTGACAGCTTCATCGGTCTCTGCTCGGTCATCTGATGGACACTCGAGACATTGTCACTTTCCAGGTCTTACTTATGAACAAGTACTGTACCGCTGATTCCAGATGTTCTACCGTTTCCCAGAATATGAAAAGATAATAAAAAAGGAAAACCCTTTATGATGCAAAGCGGGAGGAGAAATCCTCTACCGTCTGAGACAAAAATAACAATGCTTTTGAACACGGTGCTCACCAGACGCACCTTCATGACTCTTCGTAGACACAATGTAAATGCATGAATGGCTTGTATGGGCCACCCGAGGAGTATTAGATCTAACACAGTGCCCTCAACACCCACTTCCAAACAATAATTATGTATAAACATCACGAATGGCTGACTGAGGAAAAGCGATGCAGATATCGCTCCGCACCAGACAAGAGAAAGATATTGGTCGTCGACTTCATCGCAGTAGTCGTCAGCCATGCAAGAGCCGTATTTCTTTCGCAATGATCGCCTCAGTAAGTTGACCAAGCCGGCTTTCGCTCAGTCCGAGACAATCTGGTCATCATCATTCACCCGTAGCTCCACCACGGGTAAATCTTCATCGTCATCACCGTCTAGTGGCCGGAGGGATGTCCTGAATCGGAGCTTCCTCCTCCATGGGCGTGCCTGGGAACACTCCCTGACCGATTGGGCTTCCGGTCAATGCGGCGAGGCGCAAGTCGGAGTCGCTGAGATCTCCCCCGCCCACCGCTTTGTTGCTGGCATCGTCGTCGAACAAATCCTCGTCATCAGAGATGGATCCCGGAGGTACAGTGGTCATCTGTGAAAGGCCATGAGCATCTGTGACTCGGTCGAAGGACCACGTGGGTTGGCTCGAGTAGGGGAGCGGGTTGGCATAGGCTCCATCGCCGAACTCGTCTTCATCAAAGCTCATACCTTCCAGTCGGTTTGCTTTCGCAAGGCTCTGCTCGCCAGCGGCTGGGCTGTCCGAATAGTCAGGGGGAGATTCATCATCGTCGTCATCACTGTCCTCATTCCTCGGCCGGATTCCGGTTCGCAAACCACCATCTCCCGCTTGGTGAGCTGCTCCGACTCCGGCTAAGGCGCTCGACGACCCATTGCGGGAGGAGTCGCCGAGACGCCGCCCGTTCCCCGAAGGCGACTGCCCACGGGACCCAGCCGGGGAGTTATCCTCGCTGGCTGCTCGAGTTGACGACTCGGTGATTTCTTCCAAGATCTTTCCGCCCAGCGGACGGTCCGAACGTCGACGGTAAAACAATAAATAAGCCGCGGGAGTCACCACACTCTGGGGATCAATTGGTCGTGAGACAGACGAATCTACCAATTCCCGTCAGTAAACACGGATATTCTTGAAGGAACGCGGTCACAGAAGGCTCTTACCATTGTACTCGTTCCATTCGCCACTCATGAAGTTCTTCGCGTAGGCCGTATAGTGACCGCCTCCTAATCCACCGTAGTGGTTATCAACCGCGAAGAGATCATAGATTAGGGTCTTTCCCTCTTCAGGCGCTTCGACACGGCCGCTCATGTCCAGCTCTTCAACGGGGAAGTCGACCAAGACATCCAGCTTGTCCCTAAAACCCCTGCTGGCGCTGAATCTCTTCAGGTGCATGACAAGGATGTCGGGAGTCTTCCACAATTCGAACTTCTTGCTCGCTCTGCGATGCTCTTTGCAGCGAGGGCAGTACCATGCATCATTCTCGGAAAGAATCTCCTCTTTGTTGAACTCATCAAGACATTCGTAGAGCGTAATGCCCCTCTTCTTCCGGCTCCGGCGAAGATCACGGCGTTTGGAGAGTTCCGGATCAGGAATGCGCTCCACGTTGGTCCATGTAGGAGTACCACGTAGTCCGTCAGTGTCCTTTTTATCCCCACAAAATAGGGCATCGTGGGCTTGATAGTTCCAATCCAGCACGATACCTTCGCCCGGGCGGATCAGAGGACGCTCATCGGTTTGGGTCTTTACAGCCTTAGGGCGACTGATGTTGGAGAACATATCAGAGTCACTGTCGGAAGCACTGCCGGCGCTTCCATCCTGATCCGAGTCATCGCTGGTCTTTCGCTCGGTCACAGTACCGGATGTTGTCTGCAAATTTTAGACTGTTGTCAGTTGCCTGTCTTCTGTGATGTATATATTTTTGCGGGTGTTTACCTTCTTCTGTTTGCTAGACGACTGTGCTTTGACCCTGGAGGACATCAATGGATAGTCTTTGATATCGTCCACTGAAGACCAGCCGAGAGGCACAATCTCGTGGGACGATTTGATAATCTTCATGTCGAAGAGGCTCCGGAGGCCAGGTGCGATAGAGCTGCCAGGGCTGAAGACAGCATTTTCACGCTTGGTGTCTTGTGAAGATGGAGTATCCATCTCGTCCGAAGCATCGCGCATGGAAACGTCCACCAAGCCATCCTCACCGTCCACGGATGAGGTCTTGATTTTAGAATCTGCAGATTGCGCGTCGTCTTCATTCATCACAACGGTATCCGAATCCTCTTGAGTCCCCCCTTGCTCGTCAGCTTTCTTGATGTTCTCCTCATTGAGAATGTCTCGCGTAGTCAACGTGGCAACAGCTTCAAGAACTTTGCGGAGGATGGCATCGTAATTGTGAGCCTCTTCTCTGCTGATGATTACATACAAAGGAGCGCCGAAGAGCGACCGCTGTATATTCCCGCTGTTATTCGACTTTGGGCGGCAATGCCGATTGAAGATGGGCACAAGCATTCGATCTGCCTTGGGTGAGTCAAAGCTTGGAATTTCTTCATAGTCTGAACGACCATAAGAAAAGTAACTCTTCTGGCGCTTGTCGGGATTGTAGTTGGTGGGGACAGACTCCACCTCGAAGATTGCGATGTCGTCGCCTTGGCCGATCTGGCAATCAGCAATGGACGCAGAGTTATCGAACATCTTGTAGAATTTGCACTTGTAAATTTCAGCCATGACGAGACGCTGAGGATCGGAGCCCATCTTCTTCGCTATTAACTCCTTGAGCGCCTTGATGCTGGCGTTTTTATCAATCTCCACGTCAACGATGACAGGCTTTCGGTGGAGAGGGAAAAAGAAGATCTCCTTGCTCCAAATATTCTCGATCGGAAGCTGAAGCGTCAGATTGTTGAATGGATCAAAGATGATGCTGACCTTCTCGCAGACAGGACAGACAAGGGTTGACTTGTACATGCCGGCAAAAAGATCCGTGATGACCGAGTCATTGCGGGCTTTGTAAATGTCCCAGCATTTATTGGCAAACTCTTTGAGAGCCTCCTTGTCGTGGACCATCTCGTCTGTGGAGTCTGGCTTCTCGATATATGGCTTCTTCTGGATTCTGTTCAAATCTTCTTGCAACCCATCCAGAAGGAACAGCAGAAATTCCTGCGAATCCTGTTGCCCGTATCCCGAGAATGCTGGACCGTAACGACCAATGGTATGTTTAAACTGGCGGGGAGCGAACGACGACTGACCCGCTTCGTCGTAGAGCATACGAAGAAGGTTCGCGTACGCTTTGGCTATATCACCGTTATGGGCGAGAGGATTACTGGGGTTGAGATCTTTCTTATACACATCGTCTACCGAAAATGGTCAGTGAGATAACAGCCACGGGCCAAAGGAAAAGGTGAGAGTCCGTACTCAGGAAGTAGTATGTGAGTTCCTCCACACTGCGCACGCACTGTAGAGCAGAGTTCATGTAGCAGGTGTTTCCGAGGTTGCTCAATCCTGTGCAGCCCCTGGGCTTTCCGTCTTTACGTCGGCCCCTAATAGGTTCTGGAGCGGGCGATGATCTACCACTGTTGGTAGGACTTTTGTTCTTGAGCTTGGCAGGAACGCCATTCTTCATACTGCCACTCGGAACGCCTAGGCGATCAAGGGTCTTTTTGGATACTTCTGAGGCCCACTCTCCACCAACGCGCTCCTCGAGTACCACAACATCACTGGTAGACAAGCCAACACGATCCAAAGTAGATCGACCGTTGAAATTGGGATTATTGGTCTGATCCTTGACGTTATCGACCAGTTCTCGTTGAGCGCCGTCCGATAACGAGAGGAAGGTGTTGAGGTCAAGCACAAGGTTGTTGCCGGCATTGGCAACCAGGGACGCCGTAGGAGCCGGAGAAGCGCTCCGTGACGCAGCGGGTGTAATTGCAGCCGATGCCGTCGCACTTCCCAGACCCCCGAGAATTCTCCATACACGGACCTTGGTAGACATGTCAATATTGGCCATTCCCTTCACTTGCTTCAGCCACTTTTGGAAGTTGGTATGTCGGCTGGACAGGACCTTTGCAGGTGACATATTCTTCTCTCTTAGACTCTGTGGAGTGGTCCCCGCTACCGGGTTTGCTAGCTTCAGAACGGTGAAGATTGGAGGATGAAGCTCGTATTGAATATTTTGAGTATCACCTTCCTCCACGGTGTTGTGAGCATAGCGAATAATGGCTGGCGATTGATTAGCCAAGCCGTACCATCGCATGATCAAGTCCCAGCCTTCCTGAGGCACTATCTCAAAGTCCTCTCCCATCTGCAGACCAGGACGCAAGGGCACAAAGGGCTCTCCTGCCTCGTCATGGAAGCCGGTAATCGCCGGGTCAGTGACCAGCACAAGGTCTGAGTTATCCACGGGTCCAATTTCTCCTTCAGCTGCCGTCTTATCTGCCTTGTCAGCGTGGGTCGAGCTGCGAGCGAGCACCCGCTTCAGCCAAGACATGGACACCAGATATCCCTTCTGTTTCTCTTTCAACGGCTGGGCCATGGTGCAGGTCACTTGAGCGACTTGGTCGTCGATGGGAGGGAGATCATGGGACGAGCTGGAGGCTTGGGCCTTGGATTCCTTTCGGGTCGCCGTGGGGGCGGTAAAGGTCGACATGCTGGATGGTGTGGGATAGACATTGTCTGACCCAGAGTTGTCACCGTTGCCGTTCGAGCTCCCCTCCGCTGTAGTCGTATCCATCGCGTCTGTGTGCTGGGAGAGTGAAACAGATCTCTTCTCCGTCGAACCTAGATCCATCTCCACATCCTGGTCGGCGTTAGGAGCCGACCGTTTGATACCCGGTGAGGATGACCGAACGTCACCTCCAGTAGGTGGAACGCTGCCATCTCTTTTGTCGGAACCAGACATATCCGTCATAGCGTCGCTGTGTAGGGTGAGTCCTGCGCAGGCGATCGAAGGATAGTCGGCGGCACTACTGGCGGATTCCGGGGTCGGGGAGCGGGCGGCGGTGCCAAGCACTTCTTCCTGCAAATGAGCGGGAATGTAGCGAGGAGATGGGGACACAGAAGGGCTTTGACTTCGATTCGACCCGGACGTAGACGATGGGCGAGGATTTGGTGGCACGGAAGACGAGTCGGAATGGGGGTGCTGACTGTGACGTCTTCCAGCCTGCGAGGCAAACGACAAACCCGGAAGGGCTCCTCCTGGTCTGCGAGGCTCTGCAACCTTACGGCGCTTTGTGGAAGACGTCGTGACGGTGAGCTGCGCACGTGTCGTGGCAGCTCTGGGTAACACGATAAATGGTCGATTGAAAAGGCAGGCCAGTAGCTGATGATTTGATGATAATGACCTAACTGGTGTTTTAAAAATAAACCAGCATATAAAAACGAGTTTATAAAAAGAATAATAAGGGCAAGAAAACCCGCCGAGTGAGGGGAGGAAAAGAAATGAATCGAAAAGAAAATCCGACGACCGTCCAGGCGGGAGTCGTCGTCGTTTAGTCAGTCCGTCCCGGTCGCCAGTCACTGCTGAGTGGTTGAGGCGGAAAAAAGGCACTGTGGGGATTGAAGCTAAAAGGCGGAGTCTGGATAGGGTTGAATCTGATCCACTCTCGATATTATTGGCGAGTCCTCTTGACTATTCTTCCTTCTGCGTCGAGATATTGGAGAAGTTAGGAGAGACTAGGTGGTGAAGTTGATTCGTCTTGCGAGCAAACCAGGGAGGAAAGAAAGAGGCAGTGCAGGAGATGGCTGCAATGGGAGGTATTATCTCATCGTGCTCGTCTTGAGTCTCTGGCTTCCTTTATTGTGTTCTTCAGCTGATGCAGAATAAGAAGAATAACAATAGAAGAAACAGATGAAGATTGATTCATGATGGTGATGACGGTCTCTATTGTGCCAGCCATTGACTGGCTCAGAGTGTTGGCCGTCAACACCACTTATATTGATAGTTTGCTACTATAGAAGGCGACGAAAGACAGCACAATTATGAATATTCGACTAAGCTGACGAGTTAAGCCCGTATCTTTCGATATTGTCATTTATTGTGGGGAAGACACGATCTCGAGGCTAATTCAACTTCCTTGGCTGTGGTTGAAGTAGTCGAGTCACCAAGGTACTGATTATCCTAGTTACAAGCTTGCTCCGTTTCCATCTGCACCTCTCTTTCCACTTTCTTCAATCATCTTCACGCCTTGGTATAGAAGCGATAAAGGTCATTCCCAGGCAGAATATATCCAACGTCAGCTCGACTCCCAAACTCTGCATTTGCCTGGTCGTTTTTGGCAACCACCTTTGCCAGATTCCCACGGTAGGCTCGCATCAACAACTCGCAGCGTTCACAAAGCAATAAGCCGCATCCTCGCGCATGGGGTGAGGTTGGTGCGACGGGCTCCTGGTATTTGTTCACAAGCTGAAGAGTACTGCAGCCGAAAAATGCTGGATTCGGGCAGAGAGAACACCACGGGTTGATCCGTTTCGGTGGCTGTCCTGGTGTCGGGATCAAGCTGTTATAGGCGGCGTCGAAGTCGAAGGTGTCTACTTTGTACCCTTTAAGGGGGACAATGTAGTGACGTGAGCAGTTCACGATGTGGATTCTCTCCAATGCACAGGTGACGCACATTCGACTGGGCTCGTGGCCATCTTTGATATGTCCTCCATTTATTTCAACATACCTCCCATCACCGAAATCGATGACTTCCACGGCCCTTCTACCCAGTCCCATGATGCCATACACGAAATTGCTACACCAGTGACAAGGGTCCGTGCCGTCAGATGGTGGCTCATAGGCGAAGTCCACCGGATGGGCCAAGGACGTGTGGATAATCCGAGTACCACGGTTCTTCAGGACTGATGTAAAGGGAACAGGGTCGTCGGGCTCGTCATTTGCAGGGAGAGGGGGGATTGTGTCCCAAATAGACCCAGAGTCACCAGAGCCTGCACAACTCTCGCGGTTCTCTGTCTTCGTCCTTGGCTCCAGCGGCGGTTTGCTCTTTGCTGGGCCCGCGATACAAGGAATTCCCGTTGCTTGGCATTGCTCACAAGATACACTGTGGTCGGTTTCGCCGTAGCTGTAGGAGCATGTCTTTCCTGAGCGTCTGCATCTCTCACAGGCTCTTTTCCACTCCGGAGGGATGATCAGCTCGCAGTCGATGTTGTCCTCCTTGCAGGTCTGGCAAGGATATGCAAACTGATCTTCGAGGAGTGAGCAGTCGTTATGGATCTTGCGGCACGCCCAACACCCCTTGGCTGCTGCTTCATCCAGATCTACAAGCCGGTCGTTGCCCTCTTGCAGGCTTTCTCGCTTCCGGAGCGAGTACCGCGAGTTCGATGCCGATTCAACCGTGCAGTCGGCTATATTCCAGTACTGCATCAACTGCTCATTATCTTCAGCCGGGATGTCTGCCTCGGACATGGGAAGAGCAGCAAGGAATGCCTTTCCAGTTATTGATTTCAAGGCCATGATGACAATCAATTGTTCCGGGCTCCGAGCTTGCTTTTTGGGTCGAGTTGAGTCTTCTGTGCGAGATACACGCTTTCGCTTAGGATCTGCAGTTTCGTGCCCCGGGCTATAGTCGCTATCACTGTCGTCGTCAAGCCAGCACGATGGGATGGCCTGTTTGCCCTTCGACCGCCGCCTCCGTAAAGAGTACTTGCATTCGTCAGCAAGGGTTCCAATCAATCTAGCGCTCGGACTGCGGAAAAGCTCAATAGCCTGTTCTAGTCTTTGCAGTGTATACGCCATGATGAAAGAGGAGCCTCGGCTACCGAGCGTATATGGGAGGGAACTGTCAAAGATGTGTAAATTGATTCGAGGATGAGAAGGCTCTATTCATGAATGCTGGGAGCATACAATGGGACAATGAACAGAGTATAAGATTTTCCCAAAGGATAACATACCAGAAGTCCTTACTAGTTATTTGCCCATCCAAATCACCACCTGCTATCAAGCCGAGATTCAGGTAATGTAAATGTAAATAGAAATGTGGGTAAGAGGATATAGACTGAAACACTGAAGAGTCCGTAAGATGATAGATAGGTATGTGCAGTAACACAGTCCTCAGTTGAGATGCTCTACTGAGAGCAGTAGATTTTTCGAGTTGGTCTCAGATGAAGTGAATGCAAGATGGAGTAATATGATCCCATCAGTGTGAAGTAACCAAGCTCTTGATCTTCAGGTGTTTCAGAACAGTCAGAAAAGTCTCATTACTTTTGGTCAAAAGTGAAAGACTTCGACTTTACAGTATACCGTGCTGAGACACGACCGCATCCAACTGTGAAATGATACTCGAATGTCACAATCTGATGTCCCCCTCTCGACGTGTTGCAATGCTTAGTGCTAGCAACTGCAATCTGTGCAAACTTTCAGGACATCTTTGATCGTAAGATGAGAATGAGAAGTCAAGTTTCCCGTACTGTTTTCAGTTCGACCTCATCCCTTTGGACCCGAGGTTCAAGCTGAATCAAGACATGGCGACAACTTCAGCACCCAGAAGAACACACAGAGCAAGTGTTTCCTGCTAGCAAACCGACAGCGTCTTCACGGGTCAGTCGTCACCAGCGGCTTTGCGCATGAAAATGGTAGAACAATTACTTGTAAAATTGTCAAATGTAATTATGGCGGGGACAAACTCCATCGCAAGCATCAACAGCATCGCAGTTGCGCTAATACTCCGCAACCACAGTCTGTACACTTGGTGCTGGTACAGCACCACGTCACTGCTTGTCTTTGAGAGTCCCTGGATCCTCTGAGGTGGCTGAGGAGGAATGCATTTTGCTTTGCCTTAAGCGTAGGTAGAGTGCAGAAACTCGAGGAATACATATGTATATTGAACTGATAGTGTCGGACAGTCGGGAGAATAAATGGAAGTGTAAAGCACATGGAGTAGACACCCATCTTGCAAAATATGGTGGTAGGTTGACGGAAGATCAATAGTGACTGGGGTAGTGAACGCAACATTTTTCTTCTGGTTTCTGTATAGCGCAGTTTCCTGGGTATTCACTAAAAGCTGCAACAACCAAAGTAAGTGGTTAGGCTCCGTAGCAAAGTATAGTGGATATAGCCATTTAATCAATGACCACAGCCATCCAGAACCATTAAAGTGCCCAGATTTTCTCATTCATCGTCAAAAACAAGACAAAGTATGGCGGTCATGGCAAAGAATGAGAAAAATAGTATTGCTAGGAACAGAACCAGACATATTTTGCAGAAAACTTCGTAAAGCGGAAACCGCACCAATAAAGAGGGTCTGAGATGCAACAGCAATACCGCGTCTGCTGTTGGTAAAGGCTGCTAGTATCGCCTGGCCTACTATCCTCCCGAGGATGTCCCAGTTCTAAGTCTGGGTAAGGAGGTCGTTGGCCATTTGAAGACATTTTGCTAGGCCTAGAGATTGGAGTGGGATAGAGCAAGAGGTTCTGAGTTACTGTAATAGATGGATGATTGATAGTGATTGTTGAGAAGACAGTAGAGACTGAATGTACCAAAGACATTCAGCTGAATAGGGCTAGGGAGGGTATTCTATATATGTTGGTCATGTTGACATACGGATGCCTAGGTGCTGCATACTTTTCTCAAACATGTAAAGTCAAAACTGCAAAATGGGTCAAATGTACCATAAAACCGGCCGACAAATATCTATCCAATCCAGAGTCTTGAGTAAGTCCGACTACCTTATGGACGGGAACATCCCAAAAGGGAGCCGACCAAAAGAGAGACGCCATATACGTCTCTCCTTCCTTAGTTATCTGTGCCCTAATCCATGGAACTGCAGCGATGCCAACCAGCAGATTATAAGCCCTGAAGCTGTCGAGGCATCACCTGGTCCTCAATCAAATATCCTGCAACAAGACAACATGGCATTAGCGAAGTCCGGTGATAGCGAGTGCGCCCTTAAATAGTTCCTACTATAGACATCCTCCAGGCCGAGACGCCTTCGATTGTGTGGCAGTACCACTACAGGAATTCTGGCCTCTCGTTTCTTCATGCTGGACTTGCGCTTCGTCCACATCAGTAACTGAACGGGAGGTCGTCCATGTCGATCCCGGGGTATCAGGACGGAAGCTCAATGAGGTTTACATATATTGCAGCCACATTTCTTATAATTGTCATTGTCTTGTAGCATAGGTGTGGTACGCACTTATACTATCTTCTCCCACGAGTGTCAGCAAGGCCTAGCTCTTAGAATCACACATTGAATGGCACCAGACACCTTACACGCCCAGGCTTAAACAATTTAGCATTAAACATCCAGAAAAGCAAGAAGGTTAGCCTAGCTCAGGACGCCAGACTCGCAGCAAGCAAACGCGATGTTGAACATCGTCTCTCTCAACTTCACACTCAACTCAATTCCTCCCCTGACAGCAATTTCCTTGCTGCATAAACGCCAACAGAAATTATAAATATTGTCAAGATAACCACAGCCACTATCACCGTAACGATTATAGCCAGTCTTAAGAGAGCGACCGACGCGTCTGCCATCTCATTGAACGTAGCTGTCAAATTCCACTGTTTCCTGGCTAGGGCCTGAAAGAAGGCCACGAAGCCATCCCGTAGCGGTTTCGTCCACTTTCTTGTGGGAAGAGGAGCCGTGCCGGCTTCAAGGTCCGAGGAGGAAACATAGCTATAAGACTGTTGGTTCATGTGATCGTATATCCCTCGATATGATGGTTCTCTGACGTGCAAGTCATCTTTTGAGCAGGGGTGAGACGGTGGCTCTTCGTTCATGTTTGAGTATTAGGAGGAGTGATGGTATCGATGATAGAAATGGCTGAACGATCTTATCGGAGGAGGATGAACAGAAACAAGTCAAGTCCGAGGGGGACAGGTGTGAGTTTGTCAAGGGCAGGTGAGATATCGTTGTGTCGTAGTTGTTTCGAGAATTTGGTTGATTTAGAACCACCGTCCCAGGGAAACCTAACCACCTTCCTTGGTAAACAAGCAGGGCGTACCAACTCTGTAGTTTGTGAGAATCTATTTCATTTACTACCATTAAGATACATGGTGGACGTTCCCTAGTCCTGCTTGTGGAATGACACCAAACACCATATGCTCTGAGTCGTAGAAAATCCAGCCGAAAATGGTAGAGGAAAGATAGAAAGAACGCCAGCCCAGGGGTATTAACAAGTAACTAAAAAGCAAACAGCAAGGAGCATTTCAGGTCTGGAAACTGTACATGCGCACTTCGCAATCTTCGCTGCCTGTAGCGAAACGGCTGTCGCCAAGGCCGATGCAGGTCACTGGCCCTGAATGTCCTGTAAATGTGCGCTCGCATTTGCCGGTCCTGGGATCCCAGATTTTGACCATGCGATCCTCAGCCCCCGAAACGATACGGAGGGTGTCGGCCGCTAAAGCCCACACTCCTTCCAGGTGACCAAAGAATGTACGCAAGCACCTTCCGGACGATGTCTCCCACAGCCGAATAGTCGAGTCAAGAGCGCTGGTTACTATGTAACGTGGTGGTGAAGGACGTCCATCGTCGAAAGCCGGGCCAAAAGCAGAAGAGGGAGTGTCTGAGGTATGAGCATCGAATCCAGGTATGGCCTGCGGAGAAGCAGCTGGACTATCGCCGGAGGTGACGCTAACGTTATCATTCTCGCATTCGACATCATGATCTTCAAATTCAAATTCCCTGGGAAGTGGAACAACCTGCTGCACCTGACCAACATGCCCGTGAAATGTTCTAATGCAGGACTTGGTATCCAAATCCCAGAGTTTGACAGTGCAGTCGTCCGAGGCAGAAAATACTGTTCGAGAGGCCGAGTCCACTCTGACCGCATTGACCCAGTCAGTGTGCCCACGCAGAAGACAAGTTGACTTATCCTCAAAATTCCAGATCTTCACGGTCTTGTCTACAGACCCAGATGCAAGGATGGTCGCGTCGAAATGCAGGCCGACTACACCCCCACGATGACCGGAGTAGGTAGATATGCATTCGCCTGTCCGCCAATTCCACACCTTGAGAGTATGATCCATGCTGCCACTAATCAATTTCGTGTCGTCGAATTGAAGACAGCGAATGCCGGATTGGTGTCCCTTGAGGGTGCGAAGCTCCTCGCCTGTTTCCGTGTCCCAGATCTTGATGGTAGCATCATAGGACCCAGTAGCCAGGATATTGTCCTCAAATTGCAAACACATAATGCCATTACTGTGTCCCTTGAACACTCTGATCGAGCACCGCCCATATTTCCAGTTTGTGCCCACTTTGAAGCGATCTTTGTACACTTCCTTCCACGGTCTGTATCGTGTTTTAAAGTAGTCCTCATTTTGCTCTGATTGAGAAACAATCGATGTGCACTGACGTTTTACCATGGCCGTGTCTTCGTTATCCGATTCAGGTTTCCGCTTGGATCCTGATGCTGCAGTGTCGGTAGTAGTCAAATTGCTTTCGGTTTCCGCTGGCTGCTCGCTGATATCCCATGTAGCTGCACGGCGTTCGATCTCGCGCTTAGATTCACGCAACCTTTTACGCTCGAGAAGAGGAAGGCCCCAACCACATTTCTTGCACTTGCGATGAATATGCTGTTCACACATTCGGTGCCAAACTACATCATCATCGGCCAACGCTCTCCAACGTCTAGAGACCTGTGCGGCTTTGCAGAGGGAGGTCGTGTCCAAGTAACATAGAATTTTGAAGGAGATTTCCGGAGGGAGAGCTGTGAGGAAGTCGATACGAATCAAATCGCGGACTGTTGCGGAGATGAAAGAGAGTTGCGGAAAGCAACACTGAGCCATTATTCCCTGCA